GGAGTTGAGCTGCGGTTGATCGCAGCCTGTGACACGCTCTCTGGATGGAAAATGGCCTGAGCGTGAGTCGTTATATATATATATATTACTGCATGTATATCAATGTCTACTATATATGTTATTATATATATATTATACATTGCATTATATTGTTCGAAGTATTGAGAAAATATTGTTCAAAGTATTGCTCAAAGTATACTACGCATAATTTAATGTTATATATATTGTTCAAATCCCAACATCTCTGAGAAAAGAGGTTTCTCTTTACAAGTGTTGCTTCACCCTGGACCACTGCGGTCCAGCAGTCAAGCCATGCAGGAGGCTGAGCCCACTGCCGTTGCAGAGGGTCAATTCCAACAGATCCTGGTACAGGGAGATGCGACGCTTGACTTGACCTGCAGGGCAGTAGTAGACCTAGACCAGTGCGCTACAAATTCCTCAGACTGGACTAGTGGGAATGACTACAAGCGACAAAGCAGGCTTTGACTCACCCTTGGTTTCTCAGAGAATGATCAGATAACATCAGATAACCATGTGAATCAACCTTTGAAACATACGCGACCTACGCGATGACTGGGCGACCTGAGCGATCTGCAATTTCTACCCGACGCGGCGTGTTTTTTCATCGACGCGATGACTGTGCGATCTGGTGAATGGACCCGAGATCCAACACCCGGACGAGGACGAGGCTGCGAGGCTGGTGACCCGTTTCAAGCGGTCGCGGCCGAGCGCAAAAACGAGGAACCGAGCTAGCAACATGGACGATGGTTTTTGGTGCTTGGGCCTGGCAAAATACCGTGATGTTTTTGTTGAACAACAACATGTCCATTAGTCCATGTGTTTTGAAAAGACCTGTTATACATGATCGCAGCTTCTTTAATTTGGATGCGACCTTGCAAATTGCCTGCCACGAATCCGTGTTGAACTGGTGATGTCAGAAACCAAGGAGGGCAACTGAAGTACCCAAAAAGAATGTAATTAGTATTGTAAGTGTCGTTTTTCCGTGTCATTGTATTGGTGGGTGACTGATGTTTTGATGTTTCAAACTCTTCGCTGGAAGACCCAGCTGGCGTTTGAGGACCGAGCTACTGGAGCTGCTGCTGCGAGGAACGCTGCAGTTGAACGCTCCTTTGCAAGTTTGCGCTTATGCTGGGCATTGGCCTTTGGAGTGTGACTGGGAAAAGCCGAGACGAGTTAAACAACTACTTCAGGGGGTTGACCAGGTGGTTATTTAGAAGCTTGGGTTATATATAAGTGGGAGATGTTAATCTAACGTTCACCATCGCCATGACTTCATTGACTGGTGTTATGGGGGCCCAATCACATCAGAAGTGATGTATTAGATGTTTGAGTACAGGCTACAGAGTTAGCTTGGACGACCAGCACTGCCCATGATTAGCTTTTGCAGGGGTTATTTTGCCTGGTTGTTCCCCAAGAGTCATAACAATTATACAATTACAATATACCTGAGAGAGCGTCGAAGTTTTGAAGTACCAGCATATTGTTGTTGTTTGTTGTTTGTTAGTGTTTTGAACGGTGGTTCTCAAGGCAGATATATTAATATTCAAGTGTCATGATGTTGCAGCAACAGTACAACTTGGAAGGTCCTTGGCTTTCTGGTTATATAACTATACCTCTGTCGTGAGCAACGACTTGCGATCAACATTGTCAGAATATGTTGGACAGCGTCGCAGATAACCATTATCTTCAATATGTACCTCTTGTCATGATGTTTCTAATGTCAGGCTGCCTTAGTCGGGGACACAACTTGGCCGAATGATTCCACGCGCACATTCTGTGTTTGAATCTGTGTGGAATTACTTCAGTGGTTAGCCTACCCTATGTTTGATTAGACTAGAGAGAATTTTGTTTGGCGTGTTATGTGGTTTCACCATCCTATGTCCAGCGGATTCCTCAGAACCCACCACAGGATTCTTTCGATGTCCAGGAAGACTTGTTCCCAGAATTGCTTGATTCCCACAAGAGGTCACAAGGGTTGCAAACAGCACATCGGTGTATATTTTAATAGGGAGACACCCAACCAATGGCAATGGGTAGACTGGTTCGTTTTTCTTTTTTTCCAGTTCCAGGGAGTCAATCTGGGAGGTCTCCCTATTTTTATGCAGCCTCCAAAATGTCTTCGCTGCGAAACACAATCGTGAGGTGCTTTGGAAGTACCACGGAGATCACTGCATGGATCTAGAAACCATGACATCTTGGAACTTGAGCGGAATGTGGAAGGCTATGACATGCTATGACTTTGATTGTTCTGGAAAAAGACACTTATCTTCTCTATAGACACTATATACTCTATAGTCCTTTTCCCAAAATGTCAGACACTATCTTGCTCACTTCGCCTGTCCCGCGGGGCAGGTTCCTTGTGCCTGGATCGTTTTGATCTGGCCCTGCAGCTCCTGCGTTGGCACGCCGACGTCCACACGGCCGGCGCCTCGCTTCCAGCGGTCCTGCAGCGGGTGGCGAGTAGAGCGACGCCCGAGACCGGTGTCTCGGTCGGTGAGCGTGGGAGCGATGGATCCGCCTTTGGGGTGACCGGAGTCGACAGTCGTGAGTTCTTGGTGTTTGAACTTCCATGACTTCTGAAGATGTGAAGGCGATGGATGGAGATGGATGGAGATTGTTTGGACATATGTATGCCATAGGTGCCTGTTTGATGAATATTCTATTGCGCTGATACTGTCTTTTCTGGCTGGCTGATCACGAACACAACTCATCTCATTGGTGGTTCACCAAAATATCGAGCCGCTCACCGCTTACCCAACTGGTCGATTTTTCACGAGGCGATTGGGGAACTACCGCCTGGGATGGCTTTGAGGGAACCTCCACACGCTCCACAGCGAGGGACTGCCCAACCACGGCCAGGGACTGCCAGGAGTAGAAGAAGAAGAAGCTTTTGCTCTCGAAAACCAAGACCATGCTGCCATACTCCATCCATGTACTGCCATCTTCGAACCCGAAGTGATCGGTCGCACCCGACGCGATGCTCCATGATGCTCCCAGAGAAGGAGTTGACGGACCGGCACACATTGGGTTTGTCCGAAGTGACCTGTAACAGCACCAGCACATCGTAGGACATCACTATTTTTGGAACCATGGCCTGTAACCCAACCGTACTAACCATCAAATTCTACCACTTTGTTGGCTTCCAGCGACACAAAGCTAAAGAGAAAGGCTGTGCGGATAGGCGGCGACGTGTGCAGTCAGATGAAATCCAAGCGCAGGCATCAGTTCAACGTGCACACTGCGTTCATGCCAGACCTTCCGCATTAGAGATCGACATTTCTCTCTGCCTTCGATGCCCGTACAATCCAAGTTTCTGTTTCCGACTTCTCAAATGGGCTTCCCAGCTTAGCTGGTGCCCTACAAACTGATTTTGCCAAGGTGAAACAACCTTTATTGAGTTGTATTTTGACTTTATGTTGGTCACGAGCAGTCAAGCCCCTGTGAACATAACACCAGGGAAAGGCCGACTCACAACATTGCCGATTTCGAACTTGCCGACCGATCGTTGCAGGCTGATCTGTTGGAGAAATCCTCACTGGGTTCCCAAGCCAAAGCCATCCAAAACCTTCAACCTCTGCCTTGTTTGGCTTGAGAAACATAATGTTTTCCCATTTGGTGGACAGAGAACCAAGATTTCTCGTTCTGATTCACTTGCTTGGCTGGGAATCAGAGGCTGGTACCCTGCCTATCATGGTATCCCACGTTTTGCCTTTGGCTTTGATGTCCATTCATACATTGACCAATATTTAAGACAGACAAATCCTCCTGCGTTGAATTTTTTGCGTAGTTGGAAAATCACTTCCAGACCAAAATTCACACACCCGGATGCCCTTGAGATTACCTTTGAGCAACTTGTTCGTAACATACGATCCCACGTTCGCTGATGCCGTGCCAATTAACTTGCCGTTGGCCTGTCTGTACGCTTAGGCCGACTGACCGTCCAAGGTTCCAAGACCGAACCTGCTAAGGAAGAAAGCGGAAAACAAATCCACTGTTACTGGTAGGATAGACCAGGATTGACCCAAGGCACGCATATAATGTAAACAGGTCCGGTCCATGTTTGACCATGTCTTGAGAGATCCTGAACTCTCTCCACGTTCACATGGACCCTCAGACCCCTGGAAGTGAGGCTTCGGACCTTCAAAAACCTCAAGACCCTGGACAGAATTCGTGGCAAACTCGTCTGAACCAAAAGAGTAACATCATACAATGATCATAAACCTAAACCGTCCAATGGAGATCCACAAGTAGTGTAGGGCATTCCAGCCAGGAGATCCCTTTGAAGGTGCTGGAAGAATCCCATCCTTCCAGATGCATCTCTTCCAGGTGACTTGCTTCGACTGCTGGCCGCCTCCTCCGCACCGCCACCATCTCGGCCGCCACGGCCGCCACGGCCGCCACCTCGGCCGCCCATCGCCGTGGGCTGAAAGAGAACGAGGGCTGCGCCGCGGGTGGCAGGGCTTCCAAATTGCAATCCATTCAGACTTGAGGAGTCTTGAGGTACTACTAGTGACTAGTGAATCAACTATACGGTGAAGATTCAATTTTGGGATGAATTTGGGGTGAACAGTATAGTGAAGCAGTGACATGCTGGACCATCGATGTGACATGGACCATTCGTCACGAACAAACCACGTCTCGGTGGACCGTTCGCATGGTCGGGATACGTCGTGCTGAACACTCAGAGCAGACATGGACGATATTGGTCCGGACCCTCAACAACCACAGCTGAAAACCCCCACCATGTAAGTCCAAGACCTCACACCACGTGATGATCACTGATGTGCAAAAATGATCAAAAATGGATCAGATCTTCGGATCAATTCTTGGATTATTCTTGGAATGTAGGAACCAAAACTATGGTCCAATATGGAATCAAACGAAAGTTGAAGAATTGTCTCCTTGGTCCTTGGTCCAGTCAGCACTTTTGTTCGACTCCTCTGGGAAGTCCGACTTCGCGCAGGATCAGTCAAGAGCTACCTTCAGGCAAGGGACCACCTTGATGCAGACCGGTCCTCAGATGCAGACCTTGTGACCTGGATGGGACCTGATTTGACCACGCTCAACCGAGCCGAGTTCTCCATGTCATCGGAGTGATATGAGATGATATGAGCTTCGTGATATATGTCTTGGAGGAGCGTCGTAGGTGCGAAGGATGGTCTCCATGCGATGCAAACGTGCCGATGGGGGGGAAGGCTTCAGTCCGCACTGAAGGCGTCCCCTGAGTCCAACCACAGTCAATTCGGGGATCCTCATGAACGAACACATCTCAAAACCATGCAGATGGCCCGAGAAGGCTCTCTTAGAAGGTCGGACCGGACTGGATCGCCACATTTGCCCACCTTGGCCCCCCTTGTAATCCTTGATTTCCTTGGCCTGAGCAGGTGGGACGGACGGTCGACCGTTCTTCTCGAAATCAGAGACGGACGGCACGGTGGAACTGATCGCCACATGACCATTCGCGCGCTGTCCGCTGTTTGTGTGTTTGTGTGTGTTTTTTGTGCCTGCGTATTACGTATGACGCAAAAAAATCAGCAGTACTTGTCCCAACAAAGGATGTGAGACAAATTTCTTTGGACCATCGAACAAGCCCGACAATCAAGCACCACCCCTTGACTGTAGCAGTCCCGTAATCACCCGCTTTGTACTTTGGCAGCGGAGTACCCTGTCTTCTTGTAGCATGTTTCTTTGAGCAGAGGCCAGAATTGTCTCACCTTTCCGCGGGAAAGTCAGGACAGACCTGCTATGAAGGAGCTTTCATCTCAAGAATTTGTCCATGCTGTTCCAGTCATCACATTCTTCCGACTGCCATCATTAGGATTGCGGGTTCAAGATTTCCTGATGCTTTTGAAAACAGAAGCCTTATGAGAGTCCCCCCAGGGTACACCCTCCAGGAACTCAAGATTCCTTTAACAAAGTTCACCAGTGGTGACTGCAAGACCTTGGCTGTTGCGTTATCATACTTGTATAAGTAGTTCCATACATTTGTAGAATGTTTATTTGTTTGAGATATACTATAAATTGCAATTATATATTTACATCTGACAGTATGAGTGTTTTTAATGATAAATCAAGACACTATCGTCAAAAGCTTCAGAATGTGAATGATACACATATTGATTCATAAAATGTACCGTTTGCATCCGTTTGCTTCAAATGAAACACATTATGTTCAAAAACAATTGAACCTGAAAGAGAGTTACCATTCAATTTTTGTTTGTTGATCCAATTGATTATGGCTTAATAATGATCATACAGTTCATCATGACCTGACACCATGTACCAAAACAATGTGAATTAAATCATGAATCAAATTGAACACAACGTACAATGGAATCATGTATATCATCCAAAAGCGAACAAAGAAACATGTATGTATACAAGAGAAACAACCAAACATGAATTAACATAACAATGTTATAATAAGTATTCCACTTAATCAACATGATTAAAACAAACAAAAAACAATCATTTACCGTTTGAAACACAAGAGAGACATATTCCTGGAATTGATAACATTCAAGAAGGAAAATATGAAGTGTATCAAGTGAAACCAAAGTTTGTTGGAGATTTAAGACATTAAACAAATCAACGAGTTACATATAAAGATAAGCCGTTGAGAACCAAAAAAAGGCTGAACAAAAGCAATTATTAGCAACATTTACATTACCAGGTCATAGAGAAGTAAAATTAAAGCTTTAACTGCTACAAGAAGCGATTGTACATTTGGATCGACAAAGCAATATGTGTTCTAATGTTTCAACGGATCAAAATCGTTGTATATGAATAGAACAGGTACTGCTTTAATTCCAACAACAGTTTAGGACCGTCTAAAAATATAACTTGGTTGATTTTTTCAATACAACAAGTACTGAAATAAGTTTCGGTGATATTGAATCTTTAAATGTAGAACACAATAAAGTAACTAATATTGAATATGTTGGCATCCCAAACCCAGGTGATGAATATATATTCTCCTTGTGTGTTTGGTTAGAGCAAAGCAACAATAAAGGAATAACTTATTCATAATTCAAGAATCAATGATCTTACATATCAAACTAAACAATATAATATAATATATATACTTAACGACATATAGTTGAAATTAATCAACCACTTGACTGATAATCCAGGTGTATTAAATGCAAAAGGAACACATAATATAACTAGACTCAAACATAATGTTGAAGCATTATCTACTCTGAGACAACGAACTAATCATGATGATTATTACAATATGACTAGAGTTTGTCATTCCACCTCATTCTTTTTGATCTAACAAATCACACTCCAGCAGTTTTTGAGATCTCCCTGGGGTTTCGCCCATTCAACAGTGCCTGAGGCAGCTTCTGTTGACTGCATCATCAGAGCATGACGAGAAAGCCCCCTCGTGCCGTGGCGAGAGGACTACATGTTTGACGATGACTAGCAGGGAGTGGATGAAGATGACTTCGTCGAGCGGACCATTTGTTGGTTGAAAAAGATATTTCTCCAGAATCTGAATGAATCTGGATCTTTTGGAGAACAAACAGAGCCGTGTGATCCCTAAACCAGAAACTGTGAACCAAGACCACAGAGTTTGTTTTGCCCTGGGCTGATTGAAGTATCAATCATCCACATATCTTCCTCTTTGGGCAAACCATAGATCCGGTCGGTGTTCCTTGGGTTTGTTTCTTTCTCCACACATCTCAACGCAGGCTACTGCTATGGGTTGGGAACATCTTAGAAATGCGGTGGTGAGTGGTTAAGCCTTCACTTTCGGACCGTTAAGGCCTTGTTTATTGACCAACACTCTTTACACTGCACCCCCAATCCACTCTCCGGCGAGTCGGCCTTCTGACAAGCTCTCTTCGGGATGCGGCCACACGGAGTTTTGGGACATGGGACTCTTTGGTCGTTTTCGAGAACACATGGTGTCCAGATACATGTTGGTTCCTGGTAAGCAACCTCCTTAGAAAATCTATAGAGACACATAGAGAATATTGATATGGCTCATGAAGATAGTCCAAGATCCCTTTTCAGTCTTCTATGTCCAGGCGGTTAAATACCTCTCAACCTTCTGGCACATGACTCTTTGGGCAACAAGATGCGAGATATGTGAGGGAGACTGGATGGTTTTTTTTGCCATCAATCCTCAGACATGTTGACCTGTCCCTGGGGATTATTTGAAGCCTTTGAATATGTTTGAATCATTTTCCACGTTTTTCCCGATCTTAGTGCCTTAAGTGTGTATCCCTAGCTTCATCACGTGTGCAGATGTTTTTGCGCCACCGCTTCAAAAAAATGCCCAGGATTTGACAGCAGCTGCGGCGGTGGAGCTTCACCGCCGCGTTTTCCAGCGCAAGGACGTTGAAAAACCTCTGAATTCCCTTGAATTCTTCTCCCAGCCGTGGACAGTGCGTCGCTGGGTGTGCCCAAGGTGTCGCGCTTTGTTCTTGGTCGTGCGCCCGTTCGCTCCTGCACGGCAGAAGGATTCCGCAGTGAGTCATTGTGCACGACTGGTGGCGAGAAGGGTCTCCAAGTTCTTGAGAGCACATTTGTTGAGTCGTTGACATGCAAGATATGCTGCAATTAAACTTCAGAATCTTCATGAGTTGTTGGTTGCTTGTCATGTGCTGGAAAACATTTTTAGAGTTCATAGTTCATCATGGGTTATCATAGGTGGTTGGGCGAGCCATAGAGCGGTCTACGGTCTACATCCTGCATCACGCAGAGCTTGTGAGCTTCGGACATCGTTCGGAGCCCTGGCCGACGGACATACAGCAGACATATGCGGCAACATGCGGAACATAAAAAAATCAGTAGATCAAAAGAACATATAATCGACTTGGACACACGGGAATTCAGGGTTCCGTGATTCATGCGCTTATTTTTTGTTAGCCATGACCGTCTTATTGGGTTTGTGTGGCTACTTTGAACGCGCGTTTCTGGGTTCGCAGTGTGGGCGCAGCGTGGATTGAGAAGCTCTCGACTCTGGAAGACACATATAACATCACATCACCATAGATCCACTCACGTGAATCGACGGTTCTCAATACTGATTTGTTGGTTCCTTGGTTTGAGCAAGGAAGCTACTAGTAACAAGGGCATCGCTACTAGTAACAAGGGCATCGTATCATGGAGATCTCTGTCTCTGCAATCGCCGTGATCTCACGCGAGCTCATGGGCTGATTGCGAGAGTCTCGCCGCGAGCATAAGGTTGCGCCTTTTATATGTCAGTTTGCAACCGACCATGTCAGTTTGCAACCGACCATTACGGTGTTGCTGTGGATCACAAGAGTAACAGCCACATGGTTATATATATTATATATATATATGTGTGTGAATTGGACCACCAGAGATGGCCAAGCATCGAAGGTAGGAATGGAAAAGACACATTCTTTTTCAAGGGAGCTGAGACTCAGAATTGATCCGCAACTTTTGTATC